TCTGTATATTTTTCTCCTTCATTTCATGTTCTAATTTCCAAAGTTCCCTGGATATACAAAATAAGTTAAAAAAAAAAAAAGGAAAACTATACCAATAAAATAAAACCAAAAGAAATAAATATAAAAGCATACCGAATCTTTTGCATTACTTCGGTTTTCATCCATTCACCATACCCCATGTTCTCAGGCAGCTGGTAGTTAGGCTCGTTCACTTCATTAAGCCATTGAGACATAGTTTTCTTAAAGAAAGGATAAATCACCTTCGTTGGCTGCTCAGTGTTTCTTACGTGCAGAACTTTTAAGGCATATTTCATTTGATGAGATAACTTTATCTGTGCCATTGCATGTTCACAATCCTTATAATCCATGATTACACATGGATGTTTTAGTTCTTCCTCATCATTTACCAAATTCTCACTCCTAGCACTTTTATAATAATTCCCATCGTAAAAGCATTTCAAGGGATGTTCTTTTTCAGAAATTTCTTCGTACCTGAAAGTAGACTGCAACATTTCCTTGGCAACAAATCTCTATAGAATGAAATGAAAAAGAAAAAAAAAAGTTGAGAAGACTTTACCAAAGAATGTTACAAGCATGATCTTAGCATTAAATGCTACCACTTTGAAAAAGAACATCAAAACAAAGCTCGTATTAGGAAATCGATAAAGTAGTTAAATATTACGACTCACATTTCCTTTTTACGGATCTTACTCTCATCAAATTAAATTTAAGAATATTCCTTGTAAGGTGAAGTAGAGGATACTTAGGAGTATTTTATGGAGTAAGATAGAAAATTGGAGAGACAGGTGCTAAACCTCGAGCGAAGGTTCAAAGCACACAAATTCAGTTCACTGCTCGAAACTTTTAGAACCAGCCTATATCTTGATTGGCTATAATTGCATGCTTTGGTTCATGCACCAAGTTAATTGTTGTATGCTCCTTACTTTAGTTGGATGCATAATTTCTTAGTTCCCTTTCCTTTCAGGTTAAGTGCTTTTTTATTCTGAGTTGTCTTTTCACAATTAGGTATTAATTTAGACATTATATTTTTTTTTTGAACATGTATAATTTAGGGGTAGGGGAATGGGAAATTTTTTGCATGACAGTGCCATGACTTGAACTTTGATAATTATCAAGACATTAAGTCCACCTAACCCATGAGACTTTGTGCAACATCATAACATAAAATTGCTTGTTGCTTTCCTTAGAAGGTGTATGGTGCCATCTTAAATAGTATTAAGGAGGGTAGATTTAACACTACCCTCTTCTTTTTCTTTTTTTTTTGGTCTCTTTAAAAATGAGTTTGATTTTGTGATAATTTTGTAAGCACTTTAATCTTTGAAGGCATTTTGGTGTGTAAAAGTTTTAAGTTAATTAATGGCAAATAGTGTTATTTTTGTAAAACTTTGTCTATTTTGTAAATATATTTTACTTAATTTGTAATTTTTTTTACTTTATATATTTGTGTGAATTTTTTATTTTAATCTTACAATTAATTACATTTTAAATCAAATAAATTAGGTTTAGTTGAATAATTTTAGTTTTACAAATTTCTATTACA